AGATAACTTAACCTAGGTAGTAACTATAAATGTTAGCGTTTTGACCCTCTTCTCCTTAAAAACAATTCATCCGCTTGTAGTAAGCTCCATCTCTCTATATAGCTCAGCTTCCCTCCCGCTCATCCCCACCTAAAATTCCCTTCTCAGTTGTAACTTGTAACTCTTCAACGTGTACCCCTTTTCCATCATGGTTGCGTCGGACATTCCCCCACTCCAATTTACTTCTATTGAAGATATCCAGGAGCGCGTATCGAGACTGCGCAAGTCGTTTCTAGAGCACAAGACGCGCGATGTCGAATTTCGTTTGAAGCAGCTTCGCAAGCTCTACTGGGCGTGAGTGAACCATCCACTCTTTCATTTGTGCATTTTTGGACTTCTTTCTAATGAATTATGTCTTTCTTTTCCAGCATCAAGGACCATGAGGAGCAGATCGTCGAGGCCTTGGCCCAGGATCTGGGCAGGCCACGTTTCGAGTCCGAAGTCTCCGAGACCTTATGGATGGAGAATGACATCGTCTTTGTGAGCCGGAATCTTCACAAGTGGGTTAAGGATGAAAAGGCCGAGGATATCGACTTCAACTACAAATTTATGAACCCTAAGATCCGTAAAGACCCGCTGGGTTGTGTTCTGGTTATTGGGTATGAGCTAGCCATTTACAACTTGCCGGAATATAAACTAACGTTCGGTGATTCGAGTGTAGTGCATTCAACTTCCCCTTTCAGTTGACTCTTGGACCGGTCATTGGGGCTATTGCTGCTGGTAATACTGTGGTAATCAAGCCTAGTGAGAATGCCCCCAAGAGCGCCGCCGTCATGCAGCAGATTGTGGAGGCCTCCCTCGACCCCTCATGCTACACAGTGGTTCAAGGTGGACCGACGGAGGTCCAGGCCTTGCTTGCCGAACGATGGGATAAGATTTTCTTTACCGGAGGCGCGAACGTCGGTCGTATCATCGCCAAAGCAGCCGCTCCTCATCTGACTCCCGTTGTGCTGGAACTGGGAGGCATTAACCCCGCCATCATCACCAAGAATGCCAACCCTCGACTGGTCGCGCGCCGTATGCTGTGGGGTAAAACGTTGAATGCGGGCCAGATTTGCACATCCCAGAACTACCTCCTGGTAGACAGAGCCATCTTGCCCGCCGTGGTTGAGGAATTCAAGAAGGCCTACAAGGAATTCTACCCCCAGGGCGCTAAAGCATCGCCTGATTACTCTCGCATCATCAACGAGGGTGCCTTTCGTAAACTCAAGTCCATGATCGATAACTCCAAGGGAAAGATCCTCATGGGAGGAACCATGGACGAGAACGAAAGGTTCATCGAACCAACCCTTGTCCAGGTGGATTCACCCGACGACTCTCTCATCATCCAGGAGAGCTTTGGCCCATTGATGCCCATCCTTCCCGTCGACAATCTCGAGGAGGCCGTAAACATTGCCAACAGCGTCCAGAGCACTCCCCTGGGTGTATACCCCTTCGGTAACAAGGCTGATACCGACAAGAGTAAGTCCGCCACAATTTTCCCTTGGCAACCATCCTTGCCACAGGACCAACCCGACTGACGTGATATACAGTCCTTTCCATGACTCGTTCGGGCGGAGCTGCCGTCAACGATGCCGCCCTGCACATCCCCACGCTTCCCTTCGGTGGTGTCGGTGAGAGCGGCAACGGCGCCTACAGAGGAAAAGCCAGTTTCGACGTCTTCGTGCACCGCCGCCCCATCACCACCAGCCCCGGCTGGCTCGAGGCGATCCTCTCCATCCGGTACCCCCCGTATGCCGGCAAACTGAGCAAATTCAAGGTCGCCAGTACCTTGGTGCCCGATTTCGATCGCGATGGCAATAAGCTCCGGTTCGGCTGGCTGCGCACCATCCTCACTCTCGGCGGAGGAACCGCAAAGGCTGGTGCCGGCAGGGCAGCAGTTGTTGCAGCCGGTGAGTAATGTCTCCTTATCTTGTCTCCCCACAACCCTCTCCGCCGCCTGTGAAGTATATCGTTGTTCCCGACTTCTCACTTCTCCGCGTTACTCGGCAGACCGAGAGTGAACTCTCCCCCGCTCCGTCTTTCACACCTTCAAAACGCTCTCGAGGGGTCTTCCTCATCTCATTCACTCGCTCTACTACATTTCCTTGTCTCATATTGTGTTTCTGCTTTTGTTCAGTTCTTGGCCCCTTGAATGATTTCTGGATACCCGGCGGCTTGGAGATACCCTTACATTCGACATCTACCGATAATGATCTAATCATCTAATACCTATAATCTTTATTCAATACATTTACTTACGTCTCTGAATATCTAGTGGCCTACATTGTGCTGCAGATCCTCGAACGTCGATCATCGAAACTCTAAGAAGGTGTGTGGTGGATCTGTCATTTCTTCTTTTCTCGTTGCAAATCGCTACTCGATACGGCATTTTTGTCACCTTCTGTCATATGTATTGTCATACAAAATTGGTCCACGATATAGCCTGAATCTGACCGGCAATCCTGAATGTGCGCATGTCATAATGTCATGAGATGTACCGTTATCATCGCGAGTCCTCAAACCCCAAATTTATCTTCGTAGCTGGACTCTGCAAACTCTGTATACTGCAAAGTAAGGACGTATCATGGCTCATCTCATGCATGTCTAGATGGTGATAGCTTCTGTCCAGGTAGCACGATGAAACTGTGCTTAGCATCTCGCTTCTATGCCCTTCCTGCTGACACACAGATACTTCACGCCCTTGTATGGCTTCACGCCTTCTCCCAGGCCTCGACTGCGCCGTGGGTCGATATTCAAACTGTCGACTCTGAGCCCTGATGGTAGCCAACCTTTGACAGAGAATGAGACTGAGGCAGAGTTCGGCATAAGGCTGGCGTTTAGCTGTGTCTTTGTTTTACGAGGTGGTATATAAAATAAGGAGGAAGAGGACTGGGAGGTGGATGGTGCAGGAGCGGGTGCGGCTGGCGATGACGACGATTCAGGTGCAGGGCTCTGAGGCTTAGAGGGATTGGGGGAGGTCTGCGGTACACTGTCTTGATCGGAGGCGACGAGCGCGCTGGCGGCGGCGGATTTGGATGATTTCTTGGTCTTTGTTGTCTTCGTTGTCTTCTTCTTTTTCTTCGTTTTCCGTTTCGTTGTACCTGTTGCGGCTTCCTCCGCGACCTGGTAAGACGCTGCTGTTGAGGCGTCGTAGTACCCTTGTAAGAGATTTGCGTCTGCGTCAGCCCCCTCGTTGTCTTCTTCGAGCTCGTCGTCCACATTCTGGTGCCCGACGACCGTGCAGCGAAGTGTCGCTGTGCCGGAAACGGTTCCGGAGTCTTTGGTAGGTATGCGCCACTCCAGTGTATCGTTGCCGGGCCCGAATATCGCTTCCCCGCGACTTGCTTGCATATCGGTGATATTTCGAACCGTCTTGGGTATTGGTACTGTAACCACGACCTCTTCTAGGACGGGCGCTGAGGAGTTCCCGCCTCCTCCAAGGAACGAGGGAGTAGAAGTGCCCGATCCGCCCCGCCCTGCTCCGGGGCGGTTGAAAGCTGAGTATCCTGGAAAGCTTGTGTTTAAGATCAATCGGACCTCAAACTCCGATCCCGTCGGTCCGAGTGATTTGCGTACTTCGACAATGGCAGGTAAGAACACCTTCTCCATATGCGTGGGAGGTTGGTCGATACTAGGATCAATAGGAAGCAGATCCACCTCATAACCCGCAAGAATAAATCGGCCATCGGGAGGCACAAAGCTGAGTTCGCCAGGTCGCTCCCTCCATCGAGCTAGTCGGACACAGGGATGGAATACCGGCAGGTCTATCTTCTTCCCCACAGCCTGGGGACCGCTGGGAGTGGTTAATGTAAGGAGCAAATCGGGTATCCCGGATATTTTCGCCGTGAACGCAATGGTTCCTGATACCAGCGCAGACAGAAGTCGTCCAGATGGAGCAATCGTGACTGAGAGTGATTCAATAATGTCGACGTATAACTCATTCGATGTGTGCCGCACCCCGGCCTTTCTCCAAGGGATCGCAGGGCCCTGAGCGACATTTGCGGATGATAATGGGTTCTTCAGAGGGTTGGGAGGCCCTAGTATAGGTGTGGACGACCTGTGCGCAGTGTAACCCGGTCAGTAAGGGACTTCATATTTTGACAGAGCCGCATCACAAGTCCAGCTTGCAAGAGCAACAACCCCATACTCACCCCGGTAGTCCAACGCCTCCTAACAACTTCCCCATCCATCCAGGCATCTCCACAACTTCCTGCAGCGCATTTGGCTCCGTATTGCATACGATGCCCGCATCGCACATTTCGTGGAGCAATTGTGCAACCACATCGTAGTTCGCCTGAAGCTTGGAAGAGAGTAATGGAGCCCCGACAAAGTCCTCAAGCACATCAACAACTCGGTGCAAGAACTCCAGCGCAAGAAGCGGCTCGGTATCAACTTCGGAAAGGGCCAAAAACAGCAAATTTGACTGTACGATAGAAAAGACCGTCACCGGGGGCGAGATATTTGGAATGTAGAGGAGTGACGGACGCGGGGGTGAGTGGGCGAGATAGAGAGGGAGGATAGCTGCCGCGGAGGGCGGACGGGAGCGATATACATGCTCCACGAGCGGGTTGCTTGAGAGCTCAGACAGTCAGCACTCATGGAATCGAACCTTGGGGGAAACATTAACGGCGGCGCATACTTGTGCTCATCATAGATGTAGAGCGCATCGACCTCGCCGCTCATCATGCCGGTGTGTAACGTGTCTCAATTAGTGGGGGAAGCATTAGCGGAGATCAGATACATCCGCTGGTTGACGACATCCAAAAAGTCACTGTGTTTCTGCCGCCGAATCCCGCCTCCTGGTATTTTTACAATGCGTTGGGACTCGGGAGGAAGCTCCTCGAGGCAATCAAAGTTTATGTCCTCCCAGGTTGCTGATTAACTTCAGGGGCGGTTTTTGAAGAAATCCGTATCTGAATCCCATCCTGTTCCGAGACTGTTTGACCTACCTTCGCACACTGATAAGGACCGAGTTAGAAATGGCGCCGTCGGAAAGTCAGAGCGCTTGGGATGCTCAATCAAAAGACGCAAAGCGTATTCTAGCAGAAGACAAGTACGATGATTGCCTCTCCTGCCGAATAACAGGTACGTTCCTCTCGTCCTTTCTTTACTCCCGTGTATAGAGGGCGGCTTGCTGACATGGAAAAACATAGGTTCGGCCGCGTTCATTGGCCTTGGAGTATACAGTTACTACACGGGAATGAATAATCTACGAAAGCAAGAACAAACAATCATGCGGAGTGCGACGAAATACAAGATGGGATCTCGGAAATTGGGCATTGCAACTATATCTGCAACATTAGTAGGCATGGGAATATGGAGGGCTTTGAATTAATCACCGGCAGCAAAGCTTTGGGTATGTGACGAGCTCATAATGTACATTATTGAATATCGATGGTATACTATATGTCCTGGGAAGAAGGAAGACAAAGGATTCCTGGTGCGCATGCAGACCAAAATTCAAAATATATACGATTGAAGGTTCACAACAACTGCCTCACTGGGTATCGCCATATCTGATATCCTCTATAGGTTGAAATGCATGAAACAAACAAAAGCACGAAAAGGATTTTGGAAAGTGTGATAATGTGAAAGAAGGTAAGAATAGAATGATGATAATGAAATGCACAAAGAAAAGAGCACCAGAAATCACAAGTAATACTCCCACAAATGCACCGAAATCCAAAGATCAATCAACCGCTGCGTGACTATAAGAATAAAATTCGTCCCATCGTCGACAATTATATTCTCTAGGCGAAGCGGCCGCGTTTGCCACCTCCAAACATGTCTTTGTTGTTTCCCATACCGGACAGGTCAAAAAAGTCGGGAAAAGTGAGCTTCCGCTTCGATCCTATTCCAACAGATGAGTCGCGGGGAGAGTTTCGAGGATTCGGTCGCGATAGGTTGGTTTGGCGGTTTTGCTGTCGAGAGTTTCGGGGCAAGACGGAGACGCTGACGGGGGAACCATCCTGAGAAGATGCTGTAGAGCTATCTGAGGCTTGCATGTCGACGTCGTGTTCCTGGTATTGAGGGAAAGATGGTCCTGCCGTAAAGGTGAAGATAGCATGCCTATCAAAGCCGTTGATATCGTTGGCTGAGGGGGTAGAAAGCGCGGGTGGCTGCTGCTCCGGGGGGGCGGGCTCGTCCCGCTGAGACAATCCGGGTTTCTGAGGCGATTCTAACTTCGTTGACTGCCGGACAGCTTCTGACTCAGATTGCTCCTTACGGGCTGTGACCTGCGGAGTATTTCTGGTCTTCTCAAGATCTCCACGCTCGTCATCGTCGCTAGGTGTACCAAGTCCGTCACTCCGCTCAGTCGCCCACTGCCGTACTCTCCACCCTTCCCCATCGCCGAGGCCAAGGTTTTCTTTGTCTAGAAACTGAAGAAGATCTTCAATCGCTTCTTGATAGCCTGCTTGTCTCGCCTGGGCTTGTTCCAGTACAGCATTCTTGTAAAGGTTTGTAACGGACAGTGCAGCAGCTTTGAACGATTGTAGGAGCTGTTCGGGAGGCTGCGGGCGAGGCGTTGAGCTCGGTAAAGATGTGTTCAAGGATCTCATGGAGTCCATGATTGTGATAACTGCGACAAAAGCCGCCCTGATGGAAGGTTGAAGACGGTAGTCGCTTCGGTGCCACAAGGAGGGGTGAGGTGAACCGTGCTCCGTCAACAAAGGCCAATCAAGTCAGGATGATGTAGCCAGGAAAAAGGGTAAAAAAGTCTTTGTCAGGCACTGAAGCCAATGACTGACAAGGACGTAGATAGGGAAAAGAAAAGGGAAAGGAGAAAGAAAGGCGATGTAGAAGCGCGGATTCCAGCAGGTGATTGATGGACTGCAGCGATGCTCCTGTGCAGGTGATCTTTCTTTTCTCTGCTTTGTCCCGGTAACGTGATCCACCGCGGGGAAACTTCTATTCCGCGCCAAGATGACTCAGCGCTGAGTCATCAACGGCTGCGCGCTTCATCCAATCAGCGCGTCTCGTCGCCGCGCTGCTCCGATGAAATGCAAGTCCATTTGCCATCCCAGCGCGACTGGCGACATTCTATCGTTCTTCAGTATCCAACTTCCTCTCCTGTCCTTGTCCCTTGAGGCTTAACGATTCGGCCGCCATAACCATCTTACAAAGTTGCAGGACAGTCCAGCTATCATCAGCTCTATCTATTCAAGTTCTTCTTCTGGCTTTTGTCGTTCTCTCGAAGCAGTCTCGAGTCGTGTTTCGCGTCATAAGAGACACTTGCGCTCAGTGCGCGGAGAACCAAAATGGCTCCTTCGCAAGTCCTCAACTCCGATACACCCTCGCAGGCGGATACTCCAATGACGGATGCAAACGAAGACGCTGTCACGTCAGTACCCGTTGATAATGTAGACTCGCAAATGACGGTAAGTCTGAATTCGAGCTTCCTGCGCCTCTGGCGCTTCACTTCCATCTGTCAAATCATGCTAATCATTCTCCCTCTACAGGGCTATCAAGATACTCCAGACTACACGGTAACTGTGCCTAAACTCATTGATATCGGCAATTCTGACTCTCTAACGACTGCAAATCAGGACTCCGACACAAACCCTAACACAACGGCAAGCAGCGTTGCTGGCGATGCCGCTCCCATTGATGGCCGGAGAAGGAGATCTGAGGCTTTCCAAATGAGGAAGAGCATATTTGGCAAGAAGCATGGGCGATTGGACGAGTCAAAGGTGGGTTTTATTTGTCCAGCCTCATTGAGTCGGTACAGGTACTTACGTTTGGCTTTGCGCATCATAGGAAGACGACTCTATCCGAAGATTTCGTTATCTCCTTGGGCTCACCGATTTGTTCCGCCACTTCATCGAAACCAACCCCAACCCTCGAATCAAGGAAATCATGGCGGAGATTGACCGACAGAACGCTGAAGAAGACGCCAAGGCTAAGAAGAAGGGATCTTCACGAACAGGGGGCGCAGGAAATGATAGACGTCGCCGAACCGAACAAGAGGAAGATGCCGAACTGCTAAAAGACGAGAAAACTGGTGCCGGAACTGCTACGGTCTTCCGGGAATCCCCTCCCTTTATTCACGGCGAGATGCGCGATTACCAGGTTGCAGGATTGAATTGGCTGGTCTCCTTACATGAGAACGGCATTTCTGGTATACTGGCTGATGAAATGGGTCTGGGTAAGACATTACAGACCATCTCCTTCCTTGGGTACTTGCGACATGTCTGCGATATCACTGGACCTCATCTTGTCGCGGTGCCCAAGTCCACCCTTGATAACTGGAAGCGTGAATTTCACAAATGGACACCAGAAGTTAATGTCCTGGTGCTCCAAGGTGACAAGGAGGAACGTCATAAACTCATCAATGAGCGACTTCTTGACGAAGATTTCGACGTTTGCATCACCAGCTACGAGATGGTTCTCAGAGAGAAGGCGCACCTTAAGAAATTTGCTTGGGAGTATATCATCATCGACGAGGCGCATCGGATCAAGAACGAGGAATCGTCACTAGCCCAGATCATTCGTGTATTCAATTCGCGCAATCGGTTGTTGATCACCGGTACACCCCTTCAGAACAATCTCCATGAGCTTTGGGCTCTTCTGAACTTCCTATTACCGGATGTGTTCGGCGACTCGGAAGCTTTCGATCAATGGTTCTCCAGTCAGGATGCCGATCAAGATACCGTTGTACAGCAGTTACACCGCGTTCTGCGGCCCTTCCTTCTCCGTCGTGTGAAGAGTGACGTTGAAAAAAGCTTGCTGCCAAAGAAAGAAGTCAACCTCTATGTGCCCATGTCGGAAATGCAGGTCAAGTGGTATCAAAAGATCCTCGAGAAAGATATTGATGCGGTCAATGGCGCTGCTGGGAAACGCGAATCAAAAACGCGTTTGTTGAATATCGTCATGCAACTGCGCAAATGTTGCAACCATCCGTATCTTTTTGAGGGCGCCGAACCCGGTCCTCCTTATACGACTGACGAGCATCTCGTGTATAATTCCGGCAAAATGGTCATTTTGGACAAGCTCCTTGCACGCATGCAGAAGCAAGGAAGTCGAGTTCTCATCTTCTCACAGATGAGTCGTGTGCTCGATATTCTGGAAGACTACTGTGTTTTTAGAGAGTACAAATACTGCCGGATAGACGGTACAACGGCGCATGAAGATCGAATTGCCGCCATCGACGACTACAATAAGCCGGGTTCAGATAAATTCATCTTCCTGCTTACAACAAGAGCAGGAGGGCTGGGTATCAACTTGACGACTGCGGATATTGTCGTTCTTTACGATAGTGATTGGAATCCTCAGGCTGATCTGCAAGCGATGGACCGTGCCCATCGTATCGGTCAGACCAAGCAAGTCGTGGTGTTTAGATTCGTTACAGAAAATGCTATTGAGGAGAAGGTCCTGGAGCGAGCCGCGCAGAAACTGCGCTTGGATCAACTTGTCATTCAACAAGGCCGTGCTCAGCAACAAGTCAAGAACGCAGCCTCCAAAGATGAGCTGCTTGGCATGATCCAGCATGGAGCCGCAAACGTTTTCAACACGAAAGGTGCAGCTGGCACCTTATCTAATGACAAGCAGTTATCTGATGATGATATCGATGCTATCTTGCGCAAGGGTGAGGAGCGGACTGCTGAACTCAACAAGAAGTACGAGAAGTTGGGTATCGATGATCTGCAGAAATTCAGCTCTGAGAGCGCATACGAATGGAACGGCCAGGATTTCACAGAAAAGAAGAAGGATATCGGCATTAACTGGATCAACCCAGCAAAGCGGGAGCGAAAGGAGCAGTTTTACTCCATCGACAAATACTACCGTCAGGCGCTGGCCACCGGCGGAAGGACAGCGGAGACAAAGCCTAAGGTTCCACGCGCGCCGAAGCAGATATCCATCCATGATTGGCAATTCTTTCCCCCGGGTCTCCAAGAACTTCAAGAGAAGGAAACAGCTTACTTCCACAAAGAAATTGGGTACAAGGCACAGCTTCCTGAGGGACCTGAAGAGGAGCTCAGTGAGCGAGAAGCTGAGCGTGACCTGGAGCAGCAAGAAATTGACAATGCCGTGCCATTGACAGAGGAGGAACAGGCGGAAAAGGCCCGGATGTCCGAAGAGGGTTTCGCGACATGGAATCGCCGAGACTTCCAGCAGTTCATCAACGGGTCCGCTAAGTTCGGCCGTACTGATTATGAAGGGATCGCTACCGAAGTGGACAGCAAAGATGCAGCCGAAGTGGAAGAATACGCTAAAGTCTTCTGGAAGCGATACACCGAAATTCAAGACTACCCCAAGTATATCCGTATTATCGAGCAGGGTGAAGAGAAGCTCCGGAAAATGAGCCATCAACGCAAGATGCTTCGCAAAAAAATG